TCTCCTTATCCCATATGCATAGACTATGACACACATCCCTTATATTCAGACAATTCAACCTTTGATTTAAGGCATTTATCAATTAGCACCAGAGCTTGGTTTACGAAAGTGTTACAAAGTATTCATACCTACAAGACTCAGTAAGGTTTTGCAGCTTTTATTTTTAGTCCTTAACAGGGTTCTTAAGATATATTGGTTAGCATCTTCGAGTCTATCGCTCTGCACCTTAGCAAGAGGGTAAATTTTGCTTGAACCATGTAGACAAAGTGGACAAGTTCTCATTTGCCATGAACCGTAGAGCTAAATACGATGCTTCATAATTATATCCAGTGGTGTTATCAGCATATAGTCTTTAGTGTCATTTTCGGGACAATGAAGTTCACATCGTTTATGTATATGTTGAAGAACAATGGACCAAGCAGAGATCACTGGTGGACACCTGCCATGATACATACCCCCTCGGAACAAATACCCTCAAACTTTACCTTTTCGCGTTGTTCCTTCAATTACTTACGAATTAAGTGGGGAGCAGTAGTTGAAAAACCGTACGGTTTCAGTTTAACAAGCCGGAGATTATGGTTCACCTATCACAAGCTTTGCTAAGGCACACGACAGCAGCAATCTTCAGCATCCAGACTAGCACCCAAGTCCTCTGTCATCTTTGATATAGCATTAGAGCGGGAATGACCCTTTAAAAATCAAGAGATTTTGAGAAAGCAACGGAGCTGTTTCAGCATACATCTGATCAAAAAGACTTGAAAACGTAGTCAAGATGAAAACGGGGCGATGATTGGACTTTTCAGATTTGCTGCTCTTTTTATGCACAGGGATGATATCACTGCTATTTCATTCAGTAGGTATTGACTGAGTCGTGATGAAATACTTCATGTCTAATGCACGGCACAGATGGGCGTAGTAGGTGTGAAGAGATGTTGTCCATATATACCGATCGACTCCCAGGGATTTAGATTGATAAAGGTGTTTTTAATGCATTCCGTGCCAACTGCGTTTAGAGAAAACAAAATATAACCGTCCACCATCCATTGCTGATGTTACACTGGAGTAAGAATCTTGATCGCCAGCTTTCAAAACCTCCGTATCGTGATTTGTTACATCAACAAAATAGGATTTAAAGCATTCCGTTACAGATCGAGGGTCCATAATAACATTATCTGCCTCGACTTTGAAATCCTATCCTGAGACTTGGAAAGAGAATTAGGCAGTAGAGGCCTCATTCTTTTTCAGATTTTATTGTTGTGGTTTGCGTTACTTGAGGTTTGTTGACAATGGGTATGAACCGCTTTTCTTTTCACTGATGTAGCAGTGTTAAGTTGGACTTAGTAAGCATCCCATGTGGAAGAAAAAATTACTCTATCTGTCAAGCGGAGGTATCTTGCATATCACTTTTCATTGTTACTAATCTCAAACAATGACGCAGTAAAGCCCTTTATGTAAAACTTCCCATGATACGGCGATACACTATTTTCGAAGAACGAAATGAAAAAGTTCAAGGGTTGCGTGGCTTCAAAGTGGTCTTAAAAACGGCGTTGCGTGACACAAAATTATCTATACAGTAGCTTTCGCACTCCCACAGGAAAATCGACTTGATTGGTAACTTGCATCTCATCGCCTTGGCTAAAGACGATGGGAGGAAGAAGATGAAGAAGAAAAATTCCTCAGAAGAAAAACCTCCGGCGATGGCACGCAATGCAACTGGAATCACCGCAAAATTAAGTTGAAAAAAAAGTTTTAAGGAGGCTCGAAAGGGTTTTCCGCAATTAAGAGCAAGTGCCAATCCATAAAAGATATCAGGACTGTCAAACTTATCATTAGGATAATGACTTGACATATACATAACACTATGTTAGGGAAATCTTTTAAGGGGCTTCGTCAGAATCTGTTGCCATGGAAACAGTACAGTAGTGCTAAAAGACCCTCTAAAACTCAGTTTTTGAAAGATATCTCAAAAACCAAGTCGGTGACCTAGTTTTTTTTTTCAAATTTCTTAAACATCATCACATTCTCTACCTGTATACGTGATACACTAACTAGTAGAACTTGAATTATTTAGGAAAATGCTGTTTTAAAACGTAAAAAAATTTCCACCAGATAAATTTTTTTGAAATTTTCTTCAGGAATGCGTAATGATGAAAATAATTTGTAGACAAAAATTCAGGGTTGGTCACCGATTTCATTTTCGAAATATTAGTTCATAAACTAAGCAAGCTTTATTTCCGGTTTTTGCAATTTTAGCTCACCCTTTTATATCCGTTCACGCGTTTTAAACGTTACCGCCGACTTAAGGGCTCATTTTCGCGAGGACGAGTCCGTGTTCGCGCGACTGTCCGCGCGATTAATCGACGGATGTCCTCAGCGCGGAAAAAATCACTCATCTTGAAGGTGGATTCGTATTGTCTTGTGATTTTACACATACCTGAAAAATAAGTCATCATTTGAGACTCAGACTGTTTACCATTACGACAGTTGTAATCGAACTTCGGAGAGAATTCAGAAGCGGAATTCGATATATGATGACAAGTTGATTTTGCAGATGGCGCTAATGCCAGTACTCCATTGAAGTCGTTGATGTTGAGTTTCTAATCTCGTACAGAGATTGTAGTGTAACATGAGACAAACCAGCATCTGCCAGCTTCTGGACCATGTTTGTCGAAAGATGAAGCTTTCCATCGAACGTCTGGATGGTATATTGTCGTTGTTCCGAGAAGATGGCTTGATCGAAGGCCTCATTCGGCAATGCCATTTACCATGCTTGACCGACATAATTGTTCCTGTGCAATTTGAAGTGGAGGAGTGAAAAGAATTTGGAGTGAATAGAATTTGCTTTGACGTCTTCCAGATTGTCATGAGCGTCAAACTCAGCGGAAATTAGGGTTTCATATACATCAGTAATTTGTTGGTCGTCACAGATTTCGCGAATTTCTATAATTTTCGAGGTACAAGCTAGAGGTATGAACAAGCCTTGGTTTCATTTTTCTTTTTTGTCTTTGCCACTGTTATAACCATGAACTTCATTATTTCGTTTTAAATGGAAAACCAAACAAATTTTGCAATCCTTTCTTAACAAATGCGAGTTTGCATT